CCGCTTCTCCCCGCACCGCTGCCACTTCCCGCAGCTGCACTGCTGCTCCCCCTGTTGCTCCCCATGCTCCTGCTGCTTCCCATAGCCCCTCCACCAGCCCTACTTCCATCCACCCCCTCCGACCTCTGTCCTCAATCCCAGCCCCCTGGACTCCTGACCATCACCCCTGACCCATTGGATCTCCCTGTACAGCTCCCGTGATCCCCCTCCTAGCTCCCCTCACTTCAACCTCAGCCCCAATCCCCTTAAGCCCCATCCCAGTCCCTCTTCTCCACCAGCTTCTTTGCCCTCAGCCCCCCAATCCCCCTGACTTCTAACGCAGCCCCCCCTGCCCTTCCCATCATCCCGGAAATGAGGCAGAGAATCCCCTCTTGCCAACGGAGGGGAGTTAGGGGGGTCCTGTACCCAAGTGGAAAAGGAGTCTCTGATAGCCAGTGGGAGGACTGGAGGAGTCCTATGGCAAGAGGAGCAGCGGGTTCCCAATCCAAAGTGGGTCCCCATGCTGTGTGGGGACAGCAGGAAACAGGAGGGATTCTCTTTTACTATTCTGTCAGATTTTTTGCGGAAATTCAGAAACTTAAAAGGCATTTTCAATATTCTGCACACCAAATACCACTAGTTGGCATTTTCTGTCCAACTGCAGTCTGAAGTATTTGGCACAGCTGTTCGATGATTACTTGGCTCTTCCCATCTCTGAGGTGTCCTGCCTCCTGAGCTCTAAGACTGACTCCTGCCAGGCAGGACTCCTGTCTGGGCACAGACACATTTGAGTTTGTGACTGAGACTGGAATGAACTGTCCACAATAAGACACCCCTCACATTGGCCAAGGAAGGAGCAAGGAAACCCATACACAGTATTTCCCAGAAGGCAGAGGGGGTCAGAAAGGCATCTGTGGGGGACAGCACAGAGCAGAAAATCAGCAGAGACATCCCACCAAGAAGAGCCAATCCCTTCAACCCGGTGAAAGAAGGGAGGGCTTTCCCTAGTCCCCGCATCACTCCTGATGCCCATGAATCTTCCTGAAGCCTGCATCCCTCAGCATTTTCCTGCTCTCTCCATCCCCAGGACCTGACAAGAGATGGAAAGACCATGGCCTCTGTGTCCCAAACAATGAAGCCAGAGCCACCAGGTGTGATCAATCCCAGTGATGGCAGAGCATGGGGCAGTCGCTTCCCAAGGGGCAGTGACAGAAACAGCAGGACCCTGAGCAGCCTTCCCGTGTCCCTCCACAGCCCCTATGGCAAAGGCTTTGCTCCCCATTGCTGTCTCTGGGCGTGGATAGGGCCTGCTCAGAAGTCTTATGTCCTGCTCCTACCCCTGGGGAGGCAAAGTAGCCTTTGCTGGGAAGGCTGTGCTTTGTTGGCTGCTGTCTCTGACCTCTGCAACCTCAGCACCCAGGGCTGTAGTCTCTGGGTCATGACCTTCCTGCCTGGGCTGGGAGCAACCCTCAGTGGCAGAACCCAGGATACAGGCCAAGCTACCTCTGTCTGAACACACTTCCCTGACTTCTATATATTGGAAGGGCTCCCTTCCTGTGCTTCTCCCTCCCTGGAGTCAGCAGTGGTGGGGCCAGTATCTCCTTGCAGAGGTTGGGTGCCCTGGGTGTTGCAGGGGTCTCTGGGGCAGCAAGCAGCAGAACATGCATCTCCACAACAATCATGGAGCCAAATGGCTTTGGCATTAGCAGGGGGACCTTAGCATTGATAGTGAAAAATTACAACACGCTGCATTTTACCCAGAAGATGTCTTCATACTTTCCCCACCCTTCCGCAGGAAAGATCTCCCACAAGTGGCACCTCCTTTACTTCTGCTGCCCCATTTCACCCCAAAAAGAGCCTCCACTGTCCCCTGAACAGATGTTCCTTCAGGGTCCTGGCTGCACAGCAAGGCATAGGAGTGAGGTCTTGAGTGTGATGAACTGCTACCAACGCTACCAGCTTCTTTGCCCTCAGCCCCCCAATCCCCCTGACTTCTAACGCAGCCCCCCCTGCCCTTCCCATCATCCCGGAAATGAGGCAGAGAATCCCCTCTTGCCAACGGAGGGGAGTTAGGGGGGTCCTGTACCCAAGTGGAAAAGGAGTCTCTGATAGCCAGTGGGAGGACTGGAGGAGTCCTATGGCAAGAGGAGCAGCGGGTTCCCAATCCAAAGTGGGTCCCCATGCTGTGTGGGGACAGCAGGAAACAGGAGGGATTCTCTTTTACTATTCTGTCAGATTTTTTGCGGAAATTCAGAAACTTAAAAGGCATTTTCAATATTCTGCACACCAAATACCACTAGTTGGCATTTTCTGTCCAACTGCAGTCTGAAGTATTTGGCACAGCTGTTCGATGATTACTTGGCTCTTCCCATCTCTGAGGTGTCCTGCCTCCTGAGCTCTAAGACTGACTCCTGCCAGGCAGGACTCCTGTCTGGGCACAGACACATTTGAGTTTGTGACTGAGACTGGAATGAACTGTCCACAATAAGACACCCCTCACATTGGCCAAGGAAGGAGCAAGGAAACCCATACACAGTATTTCCCAGAAGGCAGAGGGGGTCAGAAAGGCATCTGTGGGGGACAGCACAGAGCAGAAAATCAGCAGAGACATCCCACCAAGAAGAGCCAATCCCTTCAACCCGGTGAAAGAAGGGAGGGCTTTCCCTAGTCCCCGCATCACTCCTGATGCCCATGAATCTTCCTGAAGCCTGCATCCCTCAGCATTTTCCTGCTCTCTCCATCCCCAGGACCTGACAAGAGATGGAAAGACCATGGCCTCTGTGTCCCAAACAATGAAGCCAGAGCCACCAGGTGTGATCAATCCCAGTGATGGCAGAGCATGGGGCAGTCGCTTCCCAAGGGGCAGTGACAGAAACAGCAGGACCCTGAGCAGCCTTCCCGTGTCCCTCCACAGCCCCTATGGCAAAGGCTTTGCTCCCCATTGCTGTCTCTGGGCGTGGATAGGGCCTGCTCAGAAGTCTTATGTCCTGCTCCTACCCCTGGGGAGGCAAAGTAGCCTTTGCTGGGAAGGCTGTGCTTTGTTGGCTGCTGTCTCTGACCTCTGCAACCTCAGCACCCAGGGCTGTAGTCTCTGGGTCATGACCTTCCTGCCTGGGCTGGGAGCAACCCTCAGTGGCAGAACCCAGGATACAGGCCAAGCTACCTCTGTCTGAACACACTTCCCTGACTTCTATATATTGGAAGGGCTCCCTTCCTGTGCTTCTCCCTCCCTGGAGTCAGCAGTGGTGGGGCCAGTATCTCCTTGCAGAGGTTGGGTGCCCTGGGTGTTGCAGGGGTCTCTGGGGCAGCAAGCAGCAGAACATGCATCTCCACAACAATCATGGAGCCAAATGGCTTTGGCATTAGCAGGGGGACCTTAGCATTGATAGTGAAAAATTACAACACGCTGCATTTTACCCAGAAGATGTCTTCATACTTTCCCCACCCTTCCGCAGGAAAGATCTCCCACAAGTGGCACCTCCTTTACTTCTGCTGCCCCATTTCACCCCAAAAAGAGACTCCACTGTCCCCTGAACAGATGTTCCTTCAGGGTCCTGGCTGCACAGCAAGGCATAGGAGTGAGGTCTTGAGTGTGATGAACTGCTACCAACGCTTACCAAGAACCCCTGGATTGCAGTAAACCCTCTGGAAAGGGAAAGGGTAGGAAGTCAGATCTGCCCTGGAAAGGAGACCGGGCCCTGATCTGTTCCCATTACAGAGCTCCGGAGAGGACACAGAGACCAACCACAAGGATATCAACTTCGGTTCTGGAGCTTTACTAGAGAATGCATTACAGAAAATGAAATGAAGGGAAGGACAGGGGGATCAGCAGGCAGCCAGCAGTGCACTTTCAGAGAGGCTGCAAAGCAAAACCTGCAAAACTGGGCTTGGGGTTGCACTAGCAGCTCCTTAGACACCTGATGGGCATGAGCAGGCAAAGAAGGTTGATGTAGTGGGGAAGATAGGCAACGTCAGGGTGGGGAGCAGGGAATGCTTCTCCAGCCATAAATGTTCTCTTTCCTACATCTCAAGAGCCTCACATACCAGAAGCCTGGGAACAGGAAGGAGGACAAAGCTGGAAGGTGGCCAAGGACAGCCTCTGGGTTTCATTTGGAGATATGTGTCTTGGGGAGGGTACCCTGTTGTGAAGGTACTTGTTCCCCCCCAGGAAGAACAGATGGGTTTTAGACTTCTAGAGAATGATGGGGAATGCACAGGCTCCAAGGCTGATGCAAAGATTGTCTCCTCACTGCTTCCCCAGCTAGCCTCTGCCTGAAGTGTTTCCTCTTAGTTCCTCCCCTCAATCAAACCTTGGGGACCCGCCTCTGAGTCCTTTGGGTTCTGCTACACCATATGTGGACTGAAGGTTGGGTGAATTTTATGCAGTACACCAGCATGAGTCAGCTTTCCTGAATGCAGCCACTGGTGGGTGCTGAGCAGTTAGGCACCCCCAATCCCTTTCTGTATTGCCGGTACAATTATAGATACTCCCGGGTGTGGGTGCACTGGTGTCAGGCCAGGCTGGAGGAGTGGATGTAGCTTTTTCCAGACTCAGAGCACTGACATGGCTTCTCCCCTGTGTGGATGCACTTGTACTGGGCCAGGCTGCAAGACTGAGTGAAGCTTTTGCTACACCCCAAGCACTAATGTGGTTTCTGCCACGTGTGGATGTGCTGGTGCTGAGCCAAGTAATAAGATTGGGAGAATCTCTTCCCAAACTCCAAGCACTGATGTGGCCTCTCACCTGTGTGGATGAGCTGGTGCTGTGCAAGGTGAGAAAAGCAGGTGAAGCTTTTCCTAAAATCTGAGCACTGATGTGGCTTCTCCCTCATATGGATGTGCTGGTGTTGGCCCAGGTGGGAGGATTGGGTAAAGCTCTTCCCACACACAGAGCACTGATATGGCCTCTCCCCTGTGTGGATGAGCTGGTGCTGGGCCAAGTAACAGGGTTGGGAAAAGTACTTCCCACACTCAGATCACTTATGTGATCTCTCTCCTGTGTGGATAAGCTGGTGCTGGGCCAAGCTGGACAGCTGGGGGAAGCTTTTTCCACACTCAGAGCACTGATGTGGCTTCTCCACTGTATGGATACGCTGGTGCCGAGCCAGGCTGGAGGAGTGGGTGAAGCTTTTCCCACACTCGGAGCACTGATGTGGCTTCTCCCCCGTGTGGATGCGTTTGTGCTGGTCCAGGGTGGAGGATCGGGTGAAGCTCTTCCCACACTCTGAGCACTGATGTGGTTTCTCCCCTGTGTGGATGCGCTGGTGTTGGGCCAAGTAATAAGATCGGGAGAAGCTCTTCCCACACTCCGAGCACTGATGTGGTTTCTCCCCTGTGTGGATGCGCTGGTGCTGGGCCAAGTAATAAGATTGGGAGAAGCTCTTCCCACACTCGGAGCACTGATATGGCCTCTCCCCTGTGTGGATGCGCTGGTGCTGTGCCAGGTGGGAAGAGCAGATGAAACTCTTCCCACACTCTGAGCACTGATGTGGCTTCTCCCCTGTGTGGATGCGCTGGTGCTGGGCCAGGTGGGAGGATTTGGTAAAGCTCTGCCCACACACAGAACACAGATATGGCCTCTCCCCTGTGTGGATGCGCTGGTGCTGGGCCAAGCTCGAGGAGTGGGTGAAGCATTTCCCACACACAGAGCAGTGATATGGCTTCTCCCCTGTGTGGATGCGCTGGTGCTGGGCCAGGTAGGAGGAGTGGGTGAAGCTTTTCCCACACTCTGAGCACTGATAGGGCCTCTCCCTTGTGTGGATGAGCTGGTGCTGTGCCAGGTGGGAAAAGGAAGTGAAGCTTTTCCCACACTCAGAGCACCGATGTGGCTTTTCCTCCATGTGGCTGTGCTTGTGCTGGGTCAGGTGGGAGGACTGGGTAAAGCTCTTCCCACACACAGAGCACAGATATAGCCTCTCCCCTGTGTGGATGCGCTGATGTTTGGCCAGACTGGAGGACTGTGTGAAGCTCTTCCCACACTCATAGCACTGATGTGGCTTCTCCCTGGTGTGGACACATTGGTGCTCATCCAGATGGGAGGACTGGGTGAAGTTCTTCCCACACTCAAAGCACTGATGTGGCTTCTGCTCTGTGTGTATGAGCTGGCATTTGACTAGGGTGGAGGAGCGGGTCAAGCTCTTACCATACTCACAGTGCTGATGATACGGCTTTTCCCTTATGTGCATGAGCCTGTGCCTGACCAGGTTGGAGGGCTGTCTGAAGTTCTTCCCATTCTTGGTGCCACGGTTTGGCTGCTCCCTCCTCTGGACACACTGGTGCTGGGACAGGCCTTGCCAGCACATCAAGTTCTTTCTGCACTTGGTGCAGCGGTGTGTCTTCCTCCCTAAGTGAATGCTCCAGTGCTAAGCCAGGGAGGAGAAATAGGTGAAGGTTTTACCACATATGACACAGCAGTACTGATGGGGAACAAACCAATCTGGCTAACAGGCAGCCCCCAACCTCAACAACAAGCAACCTAGCTCCCATTCTCAGAGGCACCAGGCCTTGCAATGGACCCTTATGCAAACCGTGTTCCCTTCTTAATACACACCGCATAATCCACCTATGAGCCAAATAATATGGTTTACAGCAGCTGAGGACCATTTATCTTCAAATCTACCATTTTCATATACTTTGTCCCCTGCTTACAATGCCCCTCTGCTATCTACACTGTCAGATGGTGCAATCCCTACATGAAAGACTAAACTAACCCTGATCCAACACTGGGTCGAGGAAGAGACAGAGGCTTGTGGCACGATGCTTTAACCTCCCTGGACCTTCCATTGCTGACTTCAGAGTAGCTGTTCTTAAACCAAAATACTTTAAAAACAAACTTGAACATGGAATTGGGCAACAAGAAGTCATCCACAGGCTGGATTGCGTTAAGTACAGTTTAAATACAGACTATGGATTTTTATCTGATTACAAAGACTGGCTTCGGTGTTCCCTTTTTTGTGTGGTTGTCTTTATGTTCCTCTCTCCTACCAGCGTCCCAACTCCCATCTCCTTCCCCCGCTCTGTATTTGGTATTTAAAAGTCTCTCTCCATTTGATAATCTGGCCTGTGTGTGTCCTTTCATTGCATCTGACAAATGAGCTTGGGCTTGCAAAAATTTTCGCTGTGCTTCTCTGATTCACTTAGTTTGTAAGGTGCAAATTTATCCTGTCCTCTTCATGGCTTCAGACTAACACAGATGTCTATCAGCCAGTTGTGCTCCTCACTCCTACCATAAGGCTGCCCAGGCAGTGGCTGGGCTGGAAAGACACTGCTGGCATCAACTGTAGAGACCCTCTCTGCTCCGCAGTCTAGGCCAGGCTAGAAGGCACTTTCTGGGTTCAGCTGTAGAAACCATTGCTTCATGCTTCCTGGTGCTGGCAGGGTGTCATAGTGTACCTAGAGCATTCTTACTTGGTTTTCAGGTCTGGGCAGCTGAGGCAGCGCTTCTAGAGCTAGAGGGAGGTTTGGCTCCACGGACTCTGGCCAGGCTTTTCAGGGCCAGCAACCCTGGCTATGTGTACTTGGGAGCGAGGTCCTGCTATTGCCAGCTTGGTGCGGTTTGCAGCCTCTATCACCAGTGAAGCTTCCTCTTGTCACTCTTCAGGTCTCTCCACTGCCCACAATTCTTCCCTGCACCCCTGGCTCCTCCTCATCTCTGCCCCAGCTTCAGTCTCATGCCAAAATGAACCTGGTGCTTTACTTACCTCCAAGCTCTCCCCCTGCTTTGGAGGTCTGCCCTCCCCCTTCTCCAGTTGGCCTGGTTCAGGCATCAGGGAGGCCCTCTCTCCCATTATCTCTGGGGAAGTCCTCTGCAGCTCCAGGATTACAGGCCCTTCCTCAGAAGGCTGTTCATCGGCTCTACTAAGGGTCCCTGTGTGTGCAGGGTGGGGAAGAGAGTGCACAGGTTAGCCCTAGTGCTGCTGGCATGGGGAAAACCCTGCTATTCTCCTGTACTGGCCTGTGATGAAAGCAGTTGGAGGCTTCAGTGTGTGGAAGAGGGGGGAGAAGGAAAACTTATACTCCCAGAGCCCTTGCTAATAGACTTCCACAGGCACAAAGATGGACATGAGATCCCAACCCCTGTCCCAGCGCAGGGTGGTGATCAAAATAGTGTCAGAACCTGCAGGGCCATCGCTCCATGGGAGAGCAGCTCGAGGGACGCTGGTGCAATGTCACCATGACATGTTAAAGGGAGGGGGAGGGGACATGCAAGGTCAGTTTGCTCCAGGATGTGTGAAATGCTTCTGGGGCACTGGGAGAACAAGAACAGCTGACCAGGTGGAGCACTGAATCTATCAAAATGTGGCAGAGAGATTTCTCCACTGATGGATGGTGCCTCCTGCTGCTAGAAAGTGAAAAACCACCACTTCTTACCTGCTCCTGGGGAAGGGTTTCGTTCAGGGCACCAGCCCGAGAAACTTTCATCTGCTGACCAGTCCCAGGTCTCCTCTGCTTTAGGGGAATCTGGAACAGGACAGAGGCCTGGGTTTAACTGTAAATGAACCAGGCAAATGTCACTGGAAAAACCCATTGCCCTGACCCCAGCACCAGGCTTTTATTGGGCTCCCACGGGCATGAGAAAGGGCTTATTAGAACATTGATAGATAATCAACTAGATAACTGATTGTTACCATGGTAGCACTACAAGGCCCAACCAAGATAAAGCCTCTTTCTGCTAGAAGCGCACATTTATAATGAAAAGAGTCATCCCCCCTCCTCCCCCAGCCCAGCCACTGGGTGGGTGCTGTCCACCACAGAGATCAGTTTTGTCCTACCCCACCCACGTGCTTACATATATTGCCACCCTGTCACAGGCAGAGGCAGACATTTGAGCTTTTCATCCTGAATGCCGGACAGCTACTCAGGTGCTCAGACCCATTCCCTGGCCTACATCCAGTACTTGACCTGCCACTGGCTCCTCTGACATCTTAGACACCGAATACTGTCCTGTACAGTACGCACTGCGGGGTGTTCCACCTTAGAGCACTTGTTTTAAACCCAAGACCTCACTCCTGTCCCTGTTTTCTTTAGTTTTCCCCCAAAATCAACTAATCTATACCTGATAGCTAACCCTAATAATGGGGTGGGGGGAGGGGGTAACTGTTGCTCTGTGGGTATCAAGCCCATGATAACCTTGTACATCAAATAGGCTGGTAAGCACCTGACTTCTGGTCAGGTATGGGCTCCTCTTTGGGGACATGAGGTGGCTTGTCCCGAGACCCTGGGGTATCCCTCTGTCCTGCCTCCTTCAGAGGCTGGTCTGTAAGATGGCCCTTTGGCTGCTCCAGCCAGCAATCACCAGGTTCCTGCAATGCCCCAGGAGGCTGGTTTTCATGTGAGAAACCCTCCTCAATCTTCACGCTCACTGTGACCTGGGGATGAGATAAATGTGTTACTGCGGAGCCAGGAACAGGGTAGAAAGAAACATCCCCCACACACACGGAGGTGGGGACGGCAGCACTGAGGACTGGGGTGAAATGAACCCTCTCACCTGGAGCTTCTCGTCCTCCGC